AAACAAGAGCCCTCCCCCATCCTTTTATGGGTTTTTCCTTTAATACCCATCTCTTTTGTATTTTATACAGCAAATGCTTGGGCGCACAAGTCCCCTGAACTATTCTACTACTATTTAGCGGCGTTTGTATGATGCTGTCTGTCTATGCTGCCCCAACCAAGCGTTCCCTCCCATCCCCCACCCCCACCCCACCCCCACCCAAAAAGAAAAAGAAATTTTAATTAGTAGTCATTAAAAAACTCAAGTGCATTAGATGAGTACAACAACAAACCCAATGTAATCCCATAGTAGGGTTTGGTAAGCGCATTAGACGAGTGAATTATTAAATTGGTTTTGTGTTTGTCCTCAATCAATTAAATATATTTTCCATTTAAAAGAAAATAGGAAAAAAAAACATTTCTCCTCTATGTTTGGATTCATTCAAGTAACTTGTCAAAAGATATGGATAAATCTTTTTCTAATATAATTTTACTTTCGGAGAAAATGAAATAAGGGTTAAACAGAATCCTTCTCATGTCTGCAGTTCTCTCATGTTGGTGAGTTGAACATTTTCATAGTATCAAAACCTAGTACGGAATCATTCTGATCAAATAACCTTTGTTAGTTGACAATCTGCTAGCCTAGGAGCATGTTTGTAAGGTGCAGTGTTTTGATAGAGCAAATATCATTTGAAGCCCATCGGGCCAAACATATATCATCCGATAGCCACAAATTGACCCATACAATTCATAGCCTAAAAACAATAACAACTGGTAGCCGTCGCTTCCCATCCCTATCTTTCTTCTTATCTCTCACGCCAGCAACCCATGGTTGTGGTTTCATGGATGCTTCTCTCTCTCTCTCTCTCTCTAAAAAGCCTCTTTGGTTTCTCTCGTCTCCCTTTTCTTGTATTTCGGGGTTTGGATCCTTTATTCGGTTCTCGAAAATCTGAAAGCCATTGTAATTCATCTTATATTTTAATTCTTGTTTGCAATTCATGATTTTGGGCTATATCTGGGTTTTGAATACAAATATGCTATGACCCCAATTTATTGCCATCGCAAACTTATGATCCCCGATCTATTATGGATAAGAAAGCATGCATCGTGTTGTGGACCACACATTTGAAATGCTGATGAGCTATGAGAATGTTGTATTTTGAAGAATACTATGTTGGATCTGATGATCTGTGCTTTTTTTTTTTTTTTTTTTTTTCAATTTCAATTTTGTGCTAGTTTTTCTATATCTCTATTAGTTTGTGTTTTGTGACATAATTAATTGATTGATTCACAATTTTTACTGTTTTTATAATATTGTGGTTACCATTTTCGGCGACTGTGAGGCCATGGATGCCGGTGTCCTCGTCGTTGAAGAAGCAACTCCGCCAACCACGACTCTCATGGCCTTGTCTTCTTTCTCTGATTCTCTCTTATAGTTTCTGTGAATATGAAATTAATATTTTGAAGATCTTTGCCTGAAACTTTAAAACTCCGACGATCTTGTTACCATTTTCGGCAACTGTGAGGCCATGGATGCCGATGGCTGGTCTCTTAATGAGAGGAAGATGAGAGGAGATAACTATGCATAAAGTTAAAGTATATACAAAATAGACAGTCACTATACAAAAATTATACAAAATAGACTATCATTATATAATTTATATACAATAGATATACAAAAATAGACTGTCATTATACAGAAAATATACAAAATAAACTGTCACTATACAAAATATATACAAAATAGATTGTCACTATACAAAAATATACAAAATAGGCTGTTACTATACAAAAAATATACAAAATAGACTGTCACTATACAAAATAGACTGTTACTATACAAAAATTATACAAAATAGACTGTCACTATACAAAATAGATTGTTACTATACAAAAAATATACAAAATAGACTATCACTATGCAAAAAATATACAAAAATAAACTGTTATCATACAAAAAATATACAAAATAGACATTTCGTATATGACATGCATTACATATTTCATTCAATTCTTAGCTAATATTATTAGATCCAGAAGTACAAAATACAATTTAAAAAGGCAAAAAAGGGTTGCTCTATCGCGCCAGGTAGGTGTTGAACTTGCGACCTTCAACTTAGGAAATTCACGCCCTATCCACTGAGCTACAGGCACTTGTATTGTTATACTCATTCCTTTCGGCTGCTATCTACAATATGTTTGGGCCGAAGGGCCATTTTTTGTAAGTGGTACAAAACATGGGCTATTAAAATTTTGAGGGGCTACAGAGGTAGTTTTCTCGTTTTGATAGCCAGTTGTGCTTCCAAATTTCAGTGATCTTAAACATTCGCTACCTTCGATTTCACGGCATTTACTATGTAACAAGCTTTCTAAAGCCACGTTTCTCATCTGCTTAAACTTCTTATAACATACTCAAGTTCAGTGGAAACTTTCCCCATCTTGTCATCCCATCTCTACCAAATTAATGCTATCAGTTTGTTGATGATCCTGCACACCTTCAGTTATTTAAACATAGACAGGGTAGCTTTTCATAGCATCGGGACAGATTTTGCAAGGCCTCTCTCTAGATTATTGAAAAGTCCCTCTTTTTATTACGTTATCTTGTAGTTTGTCGTCCTTTGCAGATGTAGTTGCTTGAAAGTTGGTATTTTATCCCTTCCTTGAACCAATGATGAGAAACGGAACAAGTGAGCCGGATCGATTGCATGTTTTGTACTAACAAGCCTGAGGAAATGTGTTCTAACAATTGAGACATGGTAAGTTAGACGCTATACGGATTATTTCCTTCAAGATTGGTTCAGCAGTGATGTCTCTGTCTTGATTGCAACTATTCCAAGTACCATTCAAGAATCAAGTATCCTTCTTCTCGTACTGATCCATGATTATCCTTGGTATTCTTTGTGTGTATTTCAGACTTCAGACTGTAATGTAAAGTAAGTTTTCAACGTGATAGGTCTTTACATCCTAATTGGATTGGGTTGACGACATGCTATGCAATAAAAGAGAAGATAAGTGAAATTGTTATAAATCCACTTGCACGGGAGGTGGATGTCCAACTTGAGATTTGAAAATTTTGCCATATCTAGATTTGTCTTCATGTCTAGATTTGTATTGATTTTGAGACTCATAACTACATTTAGAAAATTATGTAATAATGCAATAGTATCTATATATAGGTTCATTCATGAACCTAAAGGAGACACTTTGAAACGAAGAAAGAAACGTTCCTTTCTGATATTATTCTCTTCTATTATTAATCTTAATTACATAATTCTTGCTATATTGCTTTTATTTCATAACACGTTATCAGCACGAATTGCTCATTTCATAATCTTTTCTGTCAAGATTATATAGTACGTGCTACTTAACTTCCACGACTCAGCCATACCATTTTAGCGGTAAGAAAACTTCTTTCTAATTTTTCTTCACAATGGTAAGAGTTTATACATTGATACTAGTATGAACATGTAATTTTTTTCCCACGCCTAATTTACTCCTATAAATACTTTAAAAATAATTTTAATTGTTATTATGGAATTTTAGAAATTTTTCTTTATTTTTTATTTTTATTTGTTTTGGCATTTATATGAATTTTTAGCATATTTAGTGATCTTTTAAATCATAAAAAATGACAAAAAAAAAAAATTCTATGTTTTACTCTTTACGTTTCTAGATTTTAATCCGTGTTAGTTGCATTTCTAAAACATACATAAAATCAAAATATATTAGTCAATTCACATGCACTTATAGTTAAATAATTAGTTGATTGCTAGAAAACGGTTAATAGGTTAATTTTGCAAAAAATAGGATTAATTTGGAGTAATGAATAAATTGGCTACAATTTGAAAATCAATTGCCAATAGCTGAAAACAAAGAGAAAAGGGTTGTTAGAGTTTTTTAAAACGAATCTGGGCCAGATTTTTAGCACCCAGTCCACAACCTTACGCCCCAATACCTTCCACGCTCGGTCCATATCCCTCTGACCCGCAAGACCACTCAAATGACCCTGTTTTTGCCCAAATCATTCCCAACCGTTGATCACCCCCAGATCTAACGAACCCGAACTCACCTGCCCCATTACATAAAAGTGTCTGAAGAGACCCCACTCACATATCTCTCTTTCTCACCTCTCTCACCCTTCGTCATTTCCGCCGCCGAAAATCGTCTCACGGCGGCGGGTAATCACCAAACGACCCCATTTCTTCACCCTACAATCCCCAGCCCGTCCTCGTTCTATCTATCGTTCATTTTCTCAAAAAACCAACGTAACCACGATTAGTAGATCTAAGATTGGCCAAAGTACCAAAATCCTTTCTCTTCGTCTGTTCCTTAAATCCCAGGCCTGTTTGGTGTTGAAATCGATCCCAATAAGTAGCCCTTGTCTTGAATCGTCAATTGGGGGGGGGGGGGGGTTCAGTCATTTCACGACTGCTAGAAGATGGCCAAATCGCTCCGAGCCGGCCCAAAGCACCTCGAGTCATCTGATATCTCTTCCTTCGACTAGCCAGAGGTATTGTAACATGAAGCATTGGCCCCTGAAGGGATTCCGGCTAGTGCTCGTGTAACACTCCCTCCGGCTCGTCGAAATTCATTTGGCCGCATTATTTTGAACCTCGGATAGGTGTGTATCTCCTTATTTTGCTGTCAATTGTTTTCATGCTTATTTTTCTGTGTTGGTTTTCAGATAGGTTTAGTCATCTCAGTTTCATTTCATAACTAATTGGTCTCGAATTTCATATTGGAACCATTTGTTCTAGTAGTTATTTAATATTGCTATAGGTTGATTGATTACTGTGGATTGTTTGTTTTCCAGTTGCTTATATAATAGTCATTTGGGATTTCAAGTTAAATCTCCATGTTATTGTTCCATTTGCATTGACTATGAGACATTCATTGATTTAAACTTGCTAATTGAAACTATTCGGTTTAAACTCAATTGAGCTATGAGTTACGGGGGT